GTGCTAAAAATAATGGGTAGAATGAACAACGGGTAATCAATAATGAGCGAGTGGCTGAGCCTGTAGTTCGTAGAGAAAATAATAGAAGGCGTGTAGTAGAAGATAGTGAATCAGAGTTGGAGGAGGAGATCGAAGTACCGCCACATCATCCTAATCGTCAAAATCGAAATACCTTTGATGATTATCGGATCAAAGCAAACATTCCTCTGTTCTTTGGAAATATGAAGATTGAGGACTTCTTGGATTGGTTGGTGGAGGTTGAGAGATTCCTTGAAATTATGGATGTTTCAGAGGACAAGATGATTAAGATGGTGGCATTCCGTTTGAAATCTGCGACTGCAGCAGTATGGTGGGATCAATTGCAGAATGCTCGAAGGAAACAGGAAAAAAGTCGGATTCGAACTTGGAGAAAGATGAAGCAGTCTTTGATGGATTGATTTTTACCTGCAGATTATGAACAGATTTTATATCGAATGTACCTGGGATGCACGCAAGGGAATCGTACAGTGTCGAACTACACCAATGAATTTTTGCGATTGGCGAAACGGAATAATTTGTCAAAATCTGAAAATCAAAAGGTAGCCAAGTATACCAATGGTTTGAAGGTGGCCATTCAAGAAAGAATTGGGATGCAGAATATTTGGACGTTGCAGGAAGCCATTAACATGACGATGAAAGCGGGGATGATGGAATCTAATAAGAGAATGGTTTTATACAGGATGTCCTTACCTATCGAATCATCATCATCCACCCCTTTAGACAAAGGAAAGGCCCCACAACAATCCCCAGTCAATCCTAACAGGAGTAAAGTTGACAACAATGGTCGGTTTGGGAATAGAAGTCAGACTCGGGGAGCACCTCAGAATGCAAATCCGTACGCTAAGCCCACGAGAGAAATTTGCTATAGATATCAAAAGCCTGGACATCATTCCAATAACTGTCTTGAGCGAAAGCAAGTCAATTTGGTGGAACCGAAGGTAGTAGATGAGGAGGGAGATACTAAAGTGGAGGATGAGTACGCGGGAGTAGAGTTTATTGTGGAGGAAGGAGTAGAAAGACTCACTTTGGTACTGCAACGAATCCTTATATCACCTAAGGAGGAGGGACAATGTCATTGCATCTTTTGTTCACTTTGTTCTATCAAGAATAAGGTGTGTGAAATGATTGTGGATAATGGAAGTTGTGAAAATTTTGTGTCAAAGAAGTTGGTGAATTTGTTGAAACTACCAGTTGAAAGCGATCCTAAACCGTATTCACTTGGTCGGGTAAAGAGAAGTCCTTCTGTTCAGGTTGCTAAACTTGCAAAGTACCTATTTCCATTGGTAAGCATTATAAGGATGAAGTTATGTGTGATGTCACAGACATGGATGCTTACCATATACTATTAGGTCGTCCATGGCAGTTTGATGTGGATTCAACTCTCAAAGGGCGTGATAATATAGTACTCTTTTCATAGGGCAATCATAAGATCGCTATGGTTTCTCTTAAACAGACGGAGAAGTCTACACATCAACGAACTGAGAGTTTCCTTACACTTACAAATGATGAGAAGGAGATTACGGAGTCTGTAAGAGAATATGATTCCTTCTATCCAGTTGTAGTTAAAGGGCTTTTTACAACAAATAAAGAAGATGAGAGTGTTCCTCTTGAGGTGCAAAAAATATTGACAGAATTTGAAGATTTGGCTTTCGATAAATTGCCGAATGAGTTACCTCCTATGAGGAATATTCAACACCAGATTGATTTGGCACCTGGAGCTAGCCTTCCAAATTTACCTCATTACCGAATGAGTCCAAAAGAGAATGAGATTCTAAGAGAGCAAATTGAGGAGCTGTTGAAGAAAGGATTCATAAGAGAGAGTATGAGTCCGTGTGCAGTACATGTCCTTCTAGTGCCAAAGAAGGATGGAAAGTGGCGTATGTGTGTTAACAGTCGTTCCATCAACAAGATAACAGTAAAGTACAGGTTTCCCATTCCACGGTTGGAGGATATGCTAGATATGCTTGGGGGTTCTAAGGTCTTCTCGAAAATAGATCTCCGTAGTGGTTATCACCAGATTCGTATTAAGCTAGGGGATGAATGGAAGACTGCCTTCAAGAGTAAGGACGGACTTTATGAATGGTTGGTGATGCCATTCGGACTTTCAAATGCCCCAAGTATTTTCATGAGAAAGATGAACCAGATTCTCCGTACTTTTATTGGGTCTTTTGTTGTGGTGTATTTCGATGATATCCTTATTTACAGCAAGTCTAAGGTGGTGCACCTAGCTCACTCGAGGCAAGTCTTGGAGGTTCTAAAGGAAAATCAGTTGTACATCAACTTGAAGAAGTACACATTCTATACATCTAAGCTATTGTTTTTAGGCTTTGTGGTAGGGGCAAATGGTTTGCACGTAGATGAAGAGAAGACAAGGGCAATTCGAAATTAGGCAATACCAAAGTCAGTTTCTGAAGTAAGGAGTTTTCATAGGTTAGCAACTTTCTACAGACGATTCATCAAGTATTTTAGTACTATCGTGGCACCTCTCACAGAATATTTGAAGAAAGGAAGGTTCAATTGGAGAGAGGAACAAGATAAGAGATTCGCCTTCATCAAAGAAAATTTGTGCACAGCTCCAGTATTATCCTTGCTAAGCTTCGAGATGATCTTTGAGGTAGAGTGTGACGCTGGTGGTATTGGTATTGGGGCCGTCCTTTCTCAAGAGAAGAGACTCGTGGCTTTCTTTTCAGAAAAGTTAAGTGATGCCAGGCAGAAGTGGAGTACCTATGAGCAAGAATTTTATGCAGTTGTTAGGGCTTTAAAACAATGGGAACACTACCTAGTACAGAATAAGTTTGTGTTGTTCACTGATCACCAAGCCTTGAAATTCATTCATAGTCAGAAACACATCAGCAGAATGCATGCTTGCTGGGTGACTTTTCTTCAGAAATTTCCTTTTGTAATTAAGCATAAATCTGGAAGTACCAATTGAGTTGCAGATGCATTGAGTCGAAGAGCTTCCTTATTGATCACATTATCACAGGAAATTGTTGGGTTTGAGTGCTTGAAAGAGCTGTATGCAGATGATCCTGACTTTAAGGAGATTTGGAATAAGTGTGTGAATCGGGAATCAATGGTGGATTTATATATTGGCGAAGGGTATCTATTCAAAGGCAACCAGCTTTGTATTCCTGTTTCATCTCTACATGAAAAATCGATTCGAGATCTACATGGTGGAGGTCTAAGTTGACACTTGGGGCGTGACAAGACAGTAGCCAGTTCAGAGGCTAGGTATTATTGGCCACAGCTGAAGTGGGATGTTGAAATTATAGTCAGAAAGTGTTATACTTGTTAGGTGTCAAAAGGTCAAGTACATAATATTGGGTTGTACATGCCACTTCCTGTCCTCCAGGGCATATGGCAACATCTGGCTATGGACTTTGTTTTGGGATTACCTCGTACTCAACAGGGGATAGATTCTATTTTTGTGGTGCTTGATATGTTTTCCTAAATGGCGCACTTCATAGCTTGTCGGAAGACTTCAAATGCGTCACATATTGCCATACTGTTTTTCAGGGAGATTGTTAGACTACATGGAGTTCCCAAGTCTATCACATCAGACCGGGATACAAAATTTTTGGGGCACTTTTGGATTACCTTATGGAAGTTGTTTGGAACCAATTTGAATCGAAGCAGCATTGCCCATCCTCAAACTGATGGACAGACCGACTTTACTAATCGTACTCTTGGAAACATGGTTCGAAGTGTTTGTGGAGATAAACCTAAACAGTGAGATCTTGCACTACCTCAAGTGGAGTTCGCGTACAACAGTGCAGTTCATACTGCTACAGGCAAATCTCCGTTTGCTATTGTGTATATAGAGGTGCCTTACCATGTGGTGGATTTGGTGAAATTGCCTAAAGGTGATAATAAAAGTGTTGCTGCTGAAAAGTTGGTAGAGGAAGCGATAGCAGTTTGTGATGAGGTAAAACAGAAGTTAGAGAAAACTAATGCAAAGTATAAGGCAGCAGCACATTTACATAGACAGGATAAACAATTTCAGGAAGGGGACTCGGTGATGATTTTTTTGAGAAAAGAGATATTTCCCGCTAATATTTACAATAAGTTGAAACCAAAAAAGTATGGGCCTTTCAAAGTGATTAAACGGATTAACAACAATACCTACATGATTGATTTGTCAGAGTCTATAGGTATTTCTCGTACATTCAATGTGACAAATTTGTATGAGTTCCATAAAGATGATAAGTCTTTGTATCCAGATTATAACTCGAGGTCGAGTTCTTCAGAGGTGAAAGTAACTGATGTAGGACATAAGGGGTATATTAAAAAAAAGAGTGCTAATAGAAATCAATCATCTTGATTCCGGATCGGTCCGATAAGACAATTTTGGAAGGAGAACGACGAGGGGAACAATACTCACCGCTATGCCGTAACGTACATTGAATTTCGACCGTTCGAGTTCGTTTAGGCCTGGAAAACTAATTTTTAAAGTTTTAGCACTATTTTTGTCAATTCATTTTTTTTTTAGAATTCTAGTTTGATTAAACTCATTTTTCATTGCTTTTAGTTGTTTTAAACTACATTTCCATGTAAACCTTTAGCTCTTTTTTTATTATCTTTTATTAATATATTTGTGAGCTTATTTTTTTATTATTTGGTGAATTCCAAATCACTTATTTTTAAAATTTTCACTTGAATTCCTTTCTTTCACCGCGTCATATTAAGTCCAGCATGAAATGTCCCTCTCTTGGAAATAAATGACGATAATAATTAAAGACCGATGAGGCGGGCATCACGACAATCCCATTGGGCACTAAAAAAATCCGGTCATAGCCGACCACGTGCCAGATACGAAGTTGACGGTCCAGATCAGTCCACTCTCGGCTAATCGAACGGCGGAAAACTCGTCCCTCGGCAAGCTTTATTATCGAGAAACAACGGTGCAGAGTCTTCCACGTGTCTCTTATGTCGCGTTATTGTAGTATTTGATCCAACGGATCTCACATTCTCTCCTAAGTAGGCTTCACTCCAACCCCTCTCTGAGCTCTCTCTCTCTCAGATTATTCCTTCGGAGAAGAAGCATATTCCGGCGCCATATAAATTCCCGGCAATTCACTCTTAATTTTATTTTATTAAAGTTTCCAGTGAAAATTAGTCTACAATTTCTAGTTTTTTCTCTTCTTTAGATTATTAGAATTTAGTCCAAAATCCTTATTTCAGTCTCTCAATTACGAATTTCAGCGTGATTACATACAAGTTCTATAGCTGGTTTTTGAGTTTATGAGATTGCTTCATCCATGACTCTTGGATTTTTCTGTCAGTGAACGAATAGTCTGGTGAAACATCCTTTTTTTTTTTTTTTTTGAAGGACAAACTCATGATACGATTTCACCCTTTCTCCCTCCAATTTTTTGCTAAAAACCCTAATTTCTAGCTTGATAATTCGTCAATGACCTAGCAGCTCACAGTTTTCAGTTCAAAACGTCGTTTTGATTTTTGAATTTTCAGCTTTGTTGTATTCTCGACCACCAATTTCTCTAAACTGTTCACAGTCAAAAGCATATATCAAACAGTAAAGCAAAGCGCGTTTATCTTCTTTTTCACCTTGAATACTTGTTCGCGCTTCTTCATCAATGGCGGATTCAGATAACGAATCAGGAGGTCACCACAACTCCCAAAACGAAAGTTCTCTTAGAGAGCAAGACAGGTTCCTTCCAATTGCAAACGTGAGCAGAATCATGAAAAAAGCTCTTCCTGCTAACGCAAAGATATCAAAGGACGCGAAAGAAACAGTCCAAGAGTGCGTATCCGAATTCATCAGCTTCATCACCGGTGAGGCATCTGATAAGTGCCAAAGGGAAAAGAGAAAGACGATCAACGGCGACGATTTGCTTTGGGCTATGACGACACTTGGATTCGAGGATTATGTCGAGCCATTAAAGATTTACCTGCAGAGATTTCGTGATATGGAAGGGGAGAAGACTGCATTGACTGGAACCGGAAGAGGAGAAAAGGAGATTGGAGGTAGTGAGGGGGATGGCAGTGTTGTGAATATGGGAAATAGTGGGGGTGGATATGAAGGGATTTATGGTATGATGGGGCATCAAGGACACGTGTACGGATCCGGTATGTATAATCAGATGGGCGGTGGTGGTGGATACGGGAAGGATGGATCGGGTCATCACATGGGCTCTGGGCCGTCTTCTGCTACAGGAAGGCCCAGGTAGCTGCTTGACTTTCTTCTTTCCTTCATAATTAATTTAGATAGACTATGATGATGAGACATTGAATATATATTAAAGTATACATCTATTATATGAATGAGTTTGATTTCGAAATTGACATTAGAATTTAGATGGTTCTGGGTATGTTTTATGCTTCCTGCTTTAGAATTTAATGCGCTGTCCGTCCGGGTCTATTCCCTTGTATGGAGAGGGACCATTTCGATTAAATTACCTTTTATTTGAGGTGAATATCGGATGCTTTGATATACGTATAGCATCACTTTTATTTCTTAAAAAAAAATTGAACCCCAATCTTGAGAGTCCCCACCGTTCTACTCCTAAAATTTTGTAAGGAAGATAAATCGCGAGATGTGCCCAACGGACCAGAGAACAAGAGCTGTATGTACACTGCGCTTATAAAGAGTCCAATTTCATGTTTCAGAAATCGAACTTTCACACTGCGGCTGTCAGCAAGGCGTGAGATAATCTCACTCTTGTCCTTTGCACCATTAGGCTATGTCCTGAGAGGCGCATCACTCTTATTTCTTGGTCTTGACTAAGGTGGTGGAGGGCCTTTGGCAAACGTTAAAGTGTCAAAAGTTATTTATGAGATTATGATATGAATTCAATTTTTAAACATGTTTAAATAAATTTCTAATAGTAATTTTTATTTAGTTAGAAGAGAAATTAATCTAAAATTACTTCTCAAAAAACTCTTTTATATAAAGCAAAAGTAAAAACGGCAACTCTGCTTAAAAAAAGAAAAAAGCTTACGTATATAATAATTTTGTTTGACAAGTTGACTTGAATGGGATAAAATAAAAGGGAATATTAAGGAAATCACGCTCTTTAGCTCATTTTTCTAATCTTGTGCCATATTTGCCTCTGACCATCTTTGATACTACTAGTACCTGAGTTGACCTTAAAATAATATATAAAATTAGTCTACACGTACATAATACATTTTACAGGATTTTGAAATGGGCTAACATGGCAGTAAAAAAAAAAAAAAAAAAACGAAAAAGGGAAAAAAAAAAAAAAAAAAAAAAAAAAAACGAAAAAAATCCACAATTTGGAGAATAGCGCCAAAATATTTCCTCCCCTCAAATTAGGGATAGAAAATGCGAGAATCACTTCCCACTTCCCCCACAGCCGCTACCAAAACTAAATCCATGGACGGCGCATCTCCTTTCTCCATCTCCAACTATCTCCTGCTATTCCACCGGCTGTTCCCATTTTTTCAACCACCTGCCCAAACCCATCTTCATTTAGCCTTGAAGTTGGAAGCTATCGATGAGATGACAGGAAAAGGGATTTTCCATATTCGTTGTAATATGTAGTGTCTGATGCTGTTATAAGTGATGTTTATACTGAAAATAGTGAAAATAACCCATCTTTGAAACCACATCCGCCAAACAGACACTGTTATGTTTCGAACAGGGACATCGGTTTTATATTGCATAGTTGAACTTAAATGGCTTTGTTAACATCGAGTAGAAAATACTCAGCCTTTTTGTGGCTTCGAATATTGAGCAGTTTTTGTTGGCTTTTGAGAGGATAAACTTTCTCTTATTCTGTAAGCTTAAATTCTCTGTATAGCAGTTCACTTAGACATTGTCACTTTTGTGGCTTCGAATATTGAGCAATTAAATCTGGTTATTAGGGCTCTCATATAATATGACCTGTGAAGTTCAGTTTTTTGGCTTTCTATTGAGCATTTCAGTTTGGGTTCCATTTTTTCCCCGTGAGTCATACATTTCAATAACAGATTGTTTCAAAAATCCCAAGCATCATATCCAACTATCCTTGAAGTCACATGGACCATTTTCAGTAATTGATGAGTACCAAAAAACTTTCAAGAAGAAAATGTTTCAACACTTTCCTATTTACCAATAAACAGGTGAACATGAAAAATTCAGCATTACACTAAAGAAAATTTCCAAGTTTGGCACGGGAATGCACGGGCTTTTTAGCAGCATTGTCCTGTGTTCAAATGGGAATCAAGAAACAGCTTAGTCCAATGGTGTAATTTAAACACCCGGACTAGGTAGATTCCATGCTGGACTATTATCAAGATATAAACTTTTGTTATCTGGATTTCAACGTGGTTCAACCTGCAGAACAATGCCTATCCCAATACCCCAACCCCACCCAAAAAAAAAGATTCTAAGCTAGTTGGTCCAACATCAGCATCTCTTACTCACTGCCCTTCTCACCCACTCCACCACCACCAGAAGAAAACTCCTTTTCGATTCGAATGAAAATGTTTGGGTAATGGGGAATGCAATATACAATCAAGAACTTTGTCATCGACTGGATATGGGGATGAGGGCATCGTCGTCGGCCTGAAGGAAGGAGGCTGGTTTCAATGGTTTGAGAAGTTTCCAATTTAGAGAGAGTGGAGGTAATATAGGATTTAGGTTTGAAGGAGAGAATACGATTTTGAGGCCTTCAGCTTTTCTCTTTTGCTTTTTTAACTTGCCACGTCAGCTTATTTTAAAATCTTGTAATTCCCCTGTGAAACTGGCCTGTACGTGTAGACTAATTGAGTAAATTTTACCTCTTATTTCATTAGGAAAATCCCCAACTTTCTCACAGAGGTTTTACAAGAAAGACACATGGGGGTGGGCCCATGTGATTTTTTTATTGAGGTGGGCCCACTAATGTGTATTATGTGAAATGACTGTTTATTTTTCCTTCGTAAATGTAGCATTATTGATTTTATTAAGCTTAACAATGCATATACCTCTCTTCATTTTCACTTTATCAGTGCGTGTTCAAGCCACGTTATTTTTTTTTAACAATGTATTTTAAAATAATAAATTGATGGAAAATGTATATTTAAAAAATAGGAAAAAGATTTAAATTTACGTATAATATTATTTTATTAAAAAATATGTGATTAAAATGATATCAAATCGCTATTTAAAATGTATTGTTTCCCCCAAAAAAGCGATTCAAACATGGCCCAATGGGGACGACAAAATTATCCGTCTCAACCTGCCCCGAATAGTTGACAGAATGACGATGGGGAACATGTCCCCTCCCTTGAATTTGCCCAAACGCTTCCTAATCTTTTTATTTTATTTTGTTTTACGTTTTATAATTTAAAAAATATTTGTAACTCGTTACCACAAGCTTCGGTTAAATTATATTACTTGACAGGCAATAGAGAAGGAAATAATCGCCATATAATTCCTTTTTTTCCTTCTTTTTTTTTTTTTTTTTGCATATAATTAACGAAATAACAATGGATTCTTCAAATGTTAAACATACATGCATGGTCTCTAAAAAATTATACGATACCATATATTATTTCGAACAAAAATCTCAAAGCACAACTTAAAATTTGAAGGAACGAAAAAATTAATTAATTTACAAGAAAGCAGACAGCTACAATTTTCTGAACATGTTCAAAATTTAATTAGACATAAATGTCTATTGCAATCAAATTAAAAGAAACAAAGTTACCTGCTTAAGTTTTAGATTTTTGTTCTGTGAAACGAGGCACAATCACACCATCGAACCGTCACGCTCTGACACGACTCATACAAACCTGTGAGGTAGGGCTATAGAGGAAAATGGGTGAGTATGGGGAATACTCGATAGATTACAAATATTAGTACAATCACTAATAGCATGTATCATTTATATATCAAAATAAATCATACTGTCATATCATATCTTTATAATCGATAAGAGCTTATATCATATCATATCTTTTTGTACCGGATGGCCATATATATCATATCGTATCATATCATTAGCAAAATATTTATCAATATCAAATAACAAAAATTAAACAGGACAAACCACTTATAAGTCGTTATCCTATCTTATTACCTTCAAATGCTTTTCAGCCAAAGGAAGAATGCTGAGATAAAAATGTACTATAAATGCTAATGAATAAAATAAATTGCAATTATTTTCTTATATCATGGAAATATTTCTAGATATTGCTTCAAAAATTTTTCAAAAAACTAAAATTCATATACTAATAAAAATACAAAAAATGCAAAATTCGTGTAACACACGTGACAGTCACTGTGCAGAGTTTTTTTTTTTTTTTTTTTTTAAATCCCCCAACATTTTCAAAATATAAAATGTATAGCACATGAAATAATTAATTGTACTCTATTAAAATTTGTGGGACTTAACATTATTTATCTATTACATGTTAGAAATTCAACAGTTTCAGAGGTATTACATATTAAAAATTTATACTAAATTATGAATTAGTTTTAAATTAAGCTTTGGCATGAAAATCGTAAAGCTTAACTAAACGACAAAGCAAGCATCCAGCCTAGAAGAAGCCTAGGCTAGCTTTTCAGAGCACATGCAATAAGAGAGGTCAGTGATATTTTTGTAGCATGAAGGTGAGCTTCTAAAATTGGGTCAAATAAATATTTTTGTTTAATGACTGATTAGGGGAAAAAAAAATTTAGCACCAAAGTGAAACATAAATAAGTTAGGGGCAAAAACAGCGCAAGCAAGATCGTCCACCAAGGTAAACCCTTTGCAAAGAAATAATCAGAGCCGTAAATGTAAATATTCAATATTTCTGGCTCCAAGTTTTCTTCTTTTACATTTTTCCTTTTGGCAAATCAATCGACCCAACAAACAAGATGGGGATGGCCTGATGTTCAGGGCGGCCACAGATGCATAAAATCTAGAATATATGCAACTGCACTATCAATGCGCTTCAGGGAGACAAACATGATGCCACGCTACAAAAGGAAAATATAAGAATGAAACCATAATGACTAATACAATTTACAAAAAAAGGCAGATTTTAATGGCATTAGATATGGATCATACCCCAAAACTAAACCATCCAATCTATTTCGCAATTAAGGGTCAGTACATGGGAATAGATAAGGAAGAAAAAGAAATGCTACATACTTTCATGATGTGTGCATAAAAGCTGAGGTAATTCCTATTCAACAAGAGAAAGAGAGCACTCTACACGGTAGAGGACCAATATAATTGAGAAAGACAGAATACATTGTACAGTAGCTGAAGAGGATGAATAGAAAACTGGTACTTTGCTCATTGCGTTGCATCTTCTCTATATGACTATATCTCGTCTCATCAGGCCACCGCGCTTCGACGGGCAGGCTTTTTTCCATCCTTCTCAGCATCACCTTCATCATCTGACCTGCCGGCTAGTTTAGTGAGTTCCTCTTGGATCATGAGCTTTATTGATGATTTTCTGGGGGTCAGATCTGTACTGAATTGCTTGGCTGAAAAAATAAAAAGGGTTAGTCACACATTTAAGTAGATGCCTAATGGAATTCTAAGCATTGTGAAATATATTTAAAGGTTTTGATTTTTCAGATTAAATTGGCCAGGTGACTGAAAGAATCAGATAGAGCAGTCCAAAGAGGCAGTAGCATGCCAAATTCTCTTAGGGATCAGAAAGCCATAAGCTTATTTGGTGATACTTCTAGTTCATGAAATTTAAGAAATACATGTAGCATTGCAGAAAGGAAAAATGGAGTGCAATAGTCGTAAAAACATTTTCGCCAATTAACTCCAAAGGAAGATAGCAGCGAAAACAAAGTATAAAGGAATTCTTGATTATTGTAAGACAGAAATTTCCGAGAAATAATAATTCGCGCGAAAAGAAAGTATGAAGGAATTCTTAATCATTATACGACTGCAATTTCGTGAAAAGAATAATTCATTGGAGCATACCAAGTTGCTTCAGAATGTCTGTGAAAGTCGCCTGCAATGTTCAACAGATGCACACTGATACGTTAGAATCAGAACAAAAAACATGAAAACTCAAAAATGACATGAATAACAAATAAATGGCATGCAAACAAACTAACCACAAACCATTCCACATAAAGAAATTCAAATTTCTATTAATTACGATTTGTCTTGAATCAAAAGCATGAAAACTTTCAAGTTCTTTAAAAGACGTTCCATTCCATGTTATTTTAAATATGAAAAAGCAGTAAAATGAACAAGTTCTAAAATTGAAGGCTTTTTGAGATTCTCACCGTATCGAAGTCCACCTCTTTGAGAATTTCACACGTTGCACTCTTGAGTTCATCGTCACTTGGCTTTAGCTTGTCCTCCTTGGGCTTGAGTTTGCCTTTCACTGCCTTCTTTCCTTCATTTGAACAAAATACAAAATGAGCATCAGAAAAAAGCTTCTCCCGAGGTCCCAACTTTGTAACTTGTTAGGAAGTTCAGACTTTGAGATAGCATTCTGGCTGGTCACCAGAACACTTATTAGAGAACTAAAGCGAGCAGAAGGTCACTTCAAATTCAAGGGTATAAAAATTAGAATTCTCACCAGTACTTTCCTTCGGTGCAGATTTCTTTGAAGTCGTCGATTTCTCCTCAAGCGCTTCACCTTTCTGCTTACCAGAAGACTTCTTTGCACTATTATCATTACTGTATTTGGAGCGACTCGTTGATTTTGCACGAGCTTTTTTAGTTGGAGGACTGGCCTTTTTAGCAAGTGCAACTTTCTTAATTTTTCCCTTTTCAGCTGATTTCTTCTTTGCTGGAGACTTTGTTGAACTTCGCTTCTGCTTTCCTCTGTACTTGACAGACTCATCATCTTCAGATTCACTCTCTTTCTTACTTTCAGCATGTTCGGAAATCTCCTCTTCGGATTTTTCACTAGCATCGTCGATATTTTCCTCTTCATGCATTTCCTCTTTTTCTTCTTCTGATTCATCTTCAGTTTCCAGAATGCTCTTGTTCTCCTCATTATTTTTCGATCCTCTCTTTTGACTCTGGAAATACCCCAAATATATAGAGATTGATGAACAGGATATACTGACCAAATGTATGAACATAATTTCACACATCATCTTTGAAAATGTTCTTTATTTCAATTTCATATTTCTAATTGAATTTAGGCAGCTGAGCTTCCACGATATCATCATCAACAGAATGCACATAATATTTCCATTTTGGTGTAATTGTGTGTTGCTTCATTTCTTTTATTTTGGACGTGAGGGGTACAGGCTTCATAACAATCTTGACATTAATCAAAAGTCAGATCAGCGATAGATTTCTTTGTCAAATGAACACTAAAGTTGAGCATGTTGCAGATGACATCATCCTTGAATAAGTACAGGAAATACGAAGAAACCTATGTAACAAAAAGGGAGTACTCTTTGGCTTCAGAGTCCCTTTCTGCTTTCATTCGGAATCCCAATGATAGACATAATTATTCTCTTCATAATTAACACAAATGAAAAATATTTCAATGCTGCAAACACAAACCTCCTAAGGCCGTATCGCACCAAGGGTTTTAATCTGAGCATGTGACTGAAAGTGGAGGAATCGCAAGAATGCATCAACATAACCAAACCCAATTCCACCCACCAAAGAAATGAAAAGCACAAGTAAAATGATAACAGCAACAGCAAAAACCTACTCATGGTACATATACAAAGACTTCTATCATCATGCATGAAGAATTATTCTGCTAAAACTTTTTAGTTTCTAATACAAACAACTAACAAGAAAGCGTGATACCTTAGCTGATCCTTGTGAAGGTGTACTCCCAATTTCTGATTCACTTCTTTTCCCATCTCTCTTGCGCTTTTTGCCTTTACTTGACTGGCAAAGAAGAGGAGGTAATTGAACATGAACAAGCTAAGTGAAAGCAAATAAATTACTTATTCCCGTTGACCTAGTTAAGAGAGACAAAAAAAATAAAATAAAATAAAATAAAAACTGAGCATAGTAGAGAACCTGCTCCTTTTCAGCAAGCAACTCCGTGGTTGTGGCATGAGGAGCCATCAGAAACTCAATCAACTTTGCAATAATATCTTCCTGGATGCACACAAATGACAGTTTGAATTTTAATCCATCACTGAAAGCAATGTAAGAGAGATCCAATATATCCAATCAATATTTCTTGATTTCAGGGTTAATAAGATAGCACTAGCAAGATATTTAAAACATACATGCATAAGTATATCTCAGAATAAGAATGTAAAGATCAAAAAATAGCAAAAACTCGAGAATCAGTATTTCCCATTAAGGGAATGGTCAATAGCAATATGGATGTGAATGTAGAAGTTTCCAGCTTAATGTAAAAAAGAAAGATATCTACAGACCTTTCTTGTATTAGCCTTGGGAATCTGCAAATCAAGAACATCGCAGAATTCCACCAATTTCTCTTTGACACACTTGTCAAGTTTTTCTTTTACTTTTATCATTTGCTTTTCCTGACAAAAAGTGCATTTTACATGCTTAGAGTTGGGACACTGCAGGCAATAGCAAATTGGTTCATGCACAATCCATCAACTCATAATATAGAGATTTACCTCATTGTCAGGCCACACAAACCCAGAAAAATTGGATATGTTGTTCTTGACTTGAGCTGCCTGCATAAAGTCATTAGAATTATTACAAGTGAACAAGCCACGTAATTAAGCAAAGCATGCGGCTGACAAAAAAAAAAGAGATGTATATTGATTACAGAATCATAATCTGGAGGAAAAAAATATCATAAGAAGCTGGAAGTTATTATGGTATCATGAAAATATGGAAATGCTTCCATATCTTTAACATCCCCCATAAGTAGCAACCAAAATAAGTTCGGAACTAAATCGAATGCAAACTGCCCAAAAGAATGATACATGGAAATGATATCTGCAACTTTTAATGGACAAAATATATGCATGTCGTTGCTGAAATTCATATAAAAAGAATATGAATGTGAAAACTTCATGGAGGAAGCAATAATGATAATTAAAAAAAGAAGGCCAGGAATTGTTAGATAAAGAAACCTCAAGAACAAGGCGAAGAAATCGTCAATTAAAATGAAAAGCTTGAGAACGAGATCAAGAATCGGTCACTGAGAAAAAACCTTAAGCACAAGTTGATGCAACAGAATGACACAACAGCGAAGAACACAACCAAAGACTCGTTGATTCTATGAAGCCCCTTTCTGGTATAGATTTTTTGAGAATGGATTTCATGAAAAAAGTAATTCTTTTGAAAAATGAGTGTCTAAAAAATATGGAAAAGTTAAATGAGTTCACGTACAAAATTATTTTATGGAGAGAATGTGTAATTGCAAAGAGTTATGGAAAAAATGAGTTTTAAAAAATGGGGGACCAACAAGGTGAAGAAAAAACCTCGAGCACTAGGTGATGTAGCAGAATGAAGAAAGAATGAACAAGATCAAAGACTCAATGATTCTACTAAATACTAATATTCGAAAATCTGGGAGTCAATAATTCGTTAGTTCGTAAAAAGAACAATACCGAACAATTGATAAACAATTGGAGAACACTCCAAAAGATATCAAGTTTTTTAATTAAAAAAACAATTCACCACCTATTCGTTGCAGACATAGAGGGGGTTATATACTTTTATTACAAGCCTTATTTCTTACACAATTAAGGACAAGAAATTATCTTACTATATGTTTAAGCAAAACTATGCAAGGAAGAAAACTGACTCTAATAATAATAATAGAAAGACAACAAAAAAGATGCTAATTGGACACAATCACATGCCACGAGTTTATCCTCCAACAGGGACCACAGAATTGCTTCCAACATATATCTATTTTTGAAAGGAAGTAAATTTACTATTTAGCGATATTAATAGAAAGACAATAAGAGTGATGCTAACTGGGCACAATCACAAGATTTAAAACTACGACCATAGAACTGCTTCCAACATATATTCGGATGGTCATGAAAAAGCCAATATGTGACTGCTATATTCATAGCATATTCACAGAGGGGTTGAAAGTTCAATCCTTGAAACATTACTTTTTCTAAACGCCAAAAATAGTAGTTTTGCTATTCCAAACAATAAGTTTCTCGAGAAATGCGACATTTTTTTAGAGAATTCGTATAACATAACTTCTTGAGGAATTTTTTCAGTTCTTCCATGATTCCCCACCATCTATAAATCGATGCTTAGGTCTAAGAGGTACCATCCGAGTCCAATTCAGTTCTTTATGGTTTGGGAAGAGCTAGAGGAGCCAATGCATATTTCTAGAAATCCCTCAATCAGGACCTTGCCTTCTCTTCCCGCATTTATTCCCTTTCCATTTGATGCTTCAAAGAGCTCTACAGAAGAGGTAGGTTCACTAAAGAAATAAATAGTTTTTAAAATCTATCCAAGCCCAAACTTTGTTTTCCCGAGACATGATGTGTACTCATGTGATAAAAACGAGGATCTCTGCTTGTAAACAAATGGTTGAAAATTGATGAAGTTGAAGAAATGGATTAGAAAACAAAGAAGATAGCATTTACAGACCTAAAACTCTTCTAGGATATTTCTTGACAACTAATGAAATGCCCTTCACTTCACTGGACCAATCTTTGGAGATAGCATCGTTCGGTTTCTCATCAAATTTTAGAGAGTCATCACAACCATCCAAATCCAAAGATTCTTCCATCTCCAGATTGTAAGGGACAAAAATGCTTCTAATGTAATATAACTTCAGCTATCTCGGCTTCACGATTCATAGGTCGTAGCTTCACGAACAGCAACCTTAATCTATCATGAACATGGTTTGCCTCAATTCCAACAATGATATAGTGGAATGATACAAGAATGAAGAATACAATCAAAGAATCTTTAATTCTATGAAAACCCAGTACTTTGAGAGTCAATAATTTGCTGATTCATAAAAAACGAATACCAAACAATCGACAGACAATTGGAGAACACTCCAAAAGATTACAGATTTTTTATTCAAAATAATTCACCACCAATTCGTAGAAAACATAGTGGGGATCATATAGCCTTATTACAAATTTCTTGAATAATTATGGACTCAAAACAATCTTCCTACCTTGATTAAGCAAAACCATGTAAAGAAGTAAATTGACTTTGATATAATAATTGGAATGAAAATTAAAAAGAAGCTAATTGGGTAAAATCATAGGCCATGACTTTATCCTCCATCAGGGACCGTAGAATTGCTTCCAATAGATATTCAGTTGGCTAGTTTCGGATGGTTGCGACATACCAATATTAAACCCTATTTTCGTTGACCACTAATCAATCAATAATGGAAAGATCCTTTAGCAAAGTCAAGAATCAGTTGCTAAAGGAAAACCCTTAGAAGCAAGGTCAGGAACCAATCAATAAAGGAAGAAACCTTTAGGTCACTAAACATGTAAATAGAAAAAGCCATATAAAAGGTCTGATATTTAATGAAAACGATTTTTTGAGGTGTAAAATGTGGATTGAAACCAACACAAAGAAAAGATTTATTTTTATTTATTGACATAACTAAACAAAATGAGAAAATTAGGGCTCCACCAGTAAGAAAGGGGCAGGGAAGCTGAAAGGTACAAAAAATGGAATAGACCTTGAATGGGATTTAGCTCCAAAGATGTTGTGATGAGTGTGAGGAGTCTTAAAATTGCAGAATAATGACTTGACCGACTTTCCACAAAACAAAACATATAAACCAATCAAAGGCCATGAGATGAGGAAAAATAGTACTGATTGAACAGGATAAGACAAAAAAAGGAACAACCTGGCAGGACGAGCAGCAAAAGCCCACTCGTTGGATAATGGAAGCGAACATTGTTTAACCTAAGGCAATAGGCTCTGATTCCAGGATAATATGATTCAGACCACATATTGAAGAATAAAAATGAGATTCTGTAACCTCGTCTATCTATAAATTACAATGTGAAAGACCCTTCAAATTAAAATCTAGCACAAAAGAAACGATACTATATTGATTACACAATCATACTATGAAGGAAACATTATCGCAAGTATCTCAAAGATATAACAGCATCACAAAAAATATTGAAATGCTTCCGCATCTTCAACACAAAAGTGTCAGAACCATGTGGTCAAGCAAACAGAGGCTTATAAAAGTATATTTGGATATCAACAACACAATAACAAAAAATATAAGGTGAGTAGTTAAGAAACTGAAGTGGTGAGCAGCTCCAAAAACGATACCAATTTAAATTAGAATGTCAACAGCGGATGAGAGAAACTAGATATTAAATTGTCCACATGAAATGTTTAACTATATTGTGCGCATCCCAAAATACATGAAGTTCAGGATGCATTAACGGTTCTGGAAGAAATTAATGGCCAAACTTCGAATGCAAATAGTATCATTCACATAAAAAAGTTACTACACAAAAATCCATGAATATCCAATGGCAAGACTTTTTCAAAATAACTGAATAAAGTGATATGACACTTTACACTAAATGAACGAAAAAGAAGAAGAGGAGAGACAGAAAAAGGTAAAGAGCATGGCATGGAAGGAAGGAGAGCCCGAATTCTATACAGGAACTCAAAAGTTCACCTTTCCCCTCCTTCCAAAGAGTATAGTATGCAGCAATTTGAAGGTGTCATCAGTCTTTCTTCTCAATAACTTGTAAGCAACTGAAACAAAAATACAGTTCAGAAAACAATCCTGTATTCATCTCTATAGCTTCGTAGCTATACAACAACAAAAAATAAATGTAATAGTACATACAAGAGAATTTCTATTTTCTTTTGTGGGCCTGCCCACAGCGGGTGTAACTGAAAAATCCTAGCATATAATGTACCACAACAAACTTCTCGATCAAATTCAAGACAAGTACAAAACAGGTAATAAAATGGAGAAAGGCGTGTCTTTAGCTGTATAACTGGGCCTTGTGCCCAAGCCGTTATATCATGTATATAATATCACCATGGGCAAATTCACCATATCCATATTGCTCACATTAGAGTTAAAATTCAAGAATCGTATTACTGCAACTCTCATTGCTGTTTCAATTTAAAGTGAACATGAATTCATTAGTAAATTGTTGCCAAAGAAATAATAAAAAGATGTACCGTTAGGGATATCTTTCAATGCAGTTCCACGACCCTGCAAACAAACATTATTATGTCACAAAGTATATCATCATTAATAGATCATTATGCTAACTGCTAAACAGTAAAATGAACATTCATAAAAAGTTGGTCAAAAAAGTGAAACATTAAAGAAAATGCCTCTTCTATTTGGAAATCCTTAGCGTTGTCCTTCTCAATAGTAGCAACCAGCCTTTCTACGGATTTTCGTTCACGTACAGGGCGTTCAATTGCATAAGGTGTAGTTGTTTTAGGCTCCTCCATTTTCCTGGTGGGGGTTTTAGTTTGTTTTGCCTTTTTCTCTATGGGGGCTTCTAGTTTCTCCTCTTCAGCTTTCTTCTTCTTACTCTTGTCTTTTTGTCCAGAACGACTTTTGGTTCTAGGTTGCTTCTTCGATCCTTTTACCTCCTTATTTTCCTCTGGCTCTCCCTCCTCAGCGTTCACTTCGTCAACATCTCCTTCAACCTTATCTTCAGCCTCATCGTCAGGCTTCTTGCTAGATTCATCTTCTTTTCCCTCACTTTTGGTTTCTTCCTTCTCTTCTTCTCCTTTTGTTTCTTCCATCTGCTTTTTGTCTTTGGATTCTTCCTTTTCATATTTTTCTCCTATTCCATTCTCTGCTTCTTTTTCTTCAGTTTCCTTGCTTTCATTGATCTGCACTTTGTCCACTTCCATATTCTTGGATTCATCTTTCCCATCACCCTTTATATCTTCTTCCATCTCTGTTACTCCATTATTTTCCTCGCCTTTCTTCTCTGTCACAACCTCACTCTTCTCCTCCAGCTTATCATTCCCATTTGCAGCTGCCTCGAGCTTATCTGACTGGCCATCCTCCTCACCCATAATAACTGAAACTCAAAGATTGGAGCTTATCCTATAACCGTTTTCACTGATCCAAAATAAACTGCAGATAGAAACTAGAAGATAACATCATTGTTTATTAGAATATAAATTTAAAAGCGAAAAATAGACAAATGAAGAAACAAAGACAGAAATCACAAAGCACCCAGAAATGAGCCCAAGTTTAATAAATAAATGGGGTACCAAAAAAGCTGTAGCATGAACTCGAAATTTTGAACATGCATACGTGATTAAGGAAAACCCACAACTTCCTGCAAATGTTTATGTGTACACAAATATAAATACAAAATTATGCTTAAACATACAGCGACAACAAGCCCTGATAAGATCCACAGAATTCCCCCACAGCAATTAAACTCGAAGAAAACATGAAAGAACCAAAATTTCGCCAAAGAAAAAAAAAAGGAACAGTCGGAAAGTTATTTTTCCGAAGCATAATCCAGAACCCTAGGTGACAAAGGTGCAATTTCTTACCTCAAAACACACATGAAGAAACGACAACAGACACATTAAACACAGCAGAAATTAAGATTTTAAGAGAAATTCATGCAAATATACACAACTTACAGAGATTTGAGTGCAGAGTTACGAGATTCTGAAAGCACTTTTCGAAGCTCCCTCAGTGATTTGGTTTTCATTCATTTTCCTCTTTTGATTAACGTTTTTACACTTCGAAATGGTGGGGTACTGTTTGGGGAATTTATTTATAGCGGACTCCAAATCCGGATTTTAAAATCATTTAGTGCCATGTCGGATTGAAGGGTCAGTGACACTGGGCAGAACTCTAAGACTGGAGCTGAATCGACAGTTAAGAGAGAACATCGATAATAGACGGCCAAGATGAATGTTTTTCCACTGGACTTGAGAGTTGACTGATCGTAATTTACATTGGGTACTTTTAGCTCCCGTTTGACCCTCATTTTTTGTAATGAAAATGGGAGGAATAGTATTTTGTTGAAAAAATGAGTGGTTGAAAAAGAATGAAAAATTTTCGATTTACGTGTATTATTATTTTATGAAAAATTGTGTGATTGAAAATAGGAGAGATAAAAATCGAATGTAATGAAATATAATTTAATGGGGGCCAAAAAGGGGCTTAATATTAGTCATGTTAAACAACAAATTTTCTACTTTAATTAAAAAAATTAACATTCACCACAAAGATCTATTCTTGTATAAAAGAAAAAAATTACCCTTAAATGAGTTATTCAATTACAAAAATGGAAATCTGTTAAAAAAATCAAAATATCCTTAAATTACAAATTAAAATCCAAACACCTCTCAATTGAGATTTTAAAACGAAGTCACTCTTTTTCACACGATAAAAACTCTTTCATTTTTCATCCACTTCAATCTCAAAATTTCATAAACTTATCAGTTATCAACCTCACAAAAAATATTTCGTTAAATTTCAGCACTTTAATTCGGTAAGTATCTTTTCCTAGTATTTAATTTTATTTTTATTGAAGTCGTATATTTTTTTAAATGATAGAGAAAATAATATTAGAACCGAAGTGAAGGTCGGCACCGATAGTCGAAACGAATTATGGTCCGTTACGGACCATGAAAAATCATATTTCATTATTCTATTTCGATTATTTATTTGAATAAAAATAATAATATTTAATTCGATTTTTCATTTAACCATTTCTTTAATTAATTATCTTAATTGGTTAAGTAAGAAAATTATTACTCAATTTAATTTATTCCTTAAATATTTCGTTAATTACGTATGTTATTCATTTCATATTTAATTATTCTATTTCTCTTATTTATTTGAATAAAAATAATAATATTTAATTCGATTTTTCATTTCACTATTTCTTTAATTAATTATCTTAATTCGATAAGTAAGAAAATTATTATTCAATTTAATTTATTATTTAAATTTTTGTTAATTATGCATATTATTCATTTAATATTTAATGATTCTATTTCGATTATTTATTTCAATAAAAATAATAATATTTAATTCGATTTTTCATTTCACTATTTCTTTAATTAATTATCTTAATTCGATAAGTAAGAAAATTATTATTCAATTTAATTTATTATTTAAATTTTTGTTAATTATGCATATTATTCATTTAATATTTAATGATTCTATTTCGATTATTTATTTCAATAAAAATAATAATATTTAATTCGATTTGTCATTTAACCATTTTTTTAATTAATTATCTTAATTGATTAAGTAAGAAAATTATTATTCAATTTAATTTATTTTTTAAATATTTCGTTAATTATGTATATTATTCATTTCATATTTAATTATTCTATTTCGATTATTTATTTGAATAAAAATAATAATATTTTATTCGATTTTTCATTTTACTATTTCTTTAATTATTTATCTTCGTTGGTTAAGTAAGAAAATTATTATTCAATTTCATTTATTCTTTAAATATTTCGTTAATTATGTATATTATTAATTTCATGTTTAATTACTCTATTTCGATTATTTATTTGAATTAAAATATATTAATATTTTCATTCAAGTATTTCTTTAATTAATTATATTTATTGTTTCCATAATTAATTATTTTAATTTTCTTAAAATGTATCTTATTTGTTTCATATATTTAATTACTAAACATGTATTTATTATTTATTTCGTTTATTTAATTACTAAACATATATTTAAGTCAAAACAAAATATTAAAATTCTATTTAATCTATTTTTAAATATTTCGTTCATTATCTTAACATATTATTTATTTCATATTTAATTACATTTTTTAACATAAAAATTAAAATAAATTCATGAAAAAAAAATATATGAACCATTGTCGGGTCCGGACCCGGACCTAATGGTCCATTATGGACCGGGCGGCCTGGAGCTCGTCGAAATCTCATTTTTTCAGTTTTTCCAATATTTCAACTTCAAATTCGATCTTTTCTTCCATTTTAACCATAAAAAATTGAATTTAACTCATTCAAATCCTAAACATTCAAATTTTCACATTTTCAAAGAAATTATTTATAGAGAACGTGTCTAACTTTCCAGAAATGGCGTTCTCTGGCTGATCGTGGTGTGTTTAGAGAGGTCCGGGTCGTCGGTAGGCAACGGATCAGAACTCGTTTTTTTCTTTTTCTTTTTTCTTTTTCTCCTCTTATTTCTCTTCTCTTGGTTTGCAAATGAGGGGGATATTTTCGACCATAACAATTTTGTTTACATTTCTTTTTTCTTTTCTTTTTTTTTTTTATTGCAAAAATTTTGGTCAAAGGCCTTTGTGGAAAAGTGGGTGGGTGGGACAGCCATTGGCCACCATTTCCTCGTTTCCATTTGGTTGGCCCTGTTAGGTGAAGATGGGCTTTGGTACAAAACGGTTTGGATTGGGTTTGAACACAACCTCATAATAAACTCAATTAATTGGATCGGGCGAAATTTCAACCCGAAACAAAATAGGAAGGTTCAAAAAATCGACCTAAACCTATCTAAATTATCAATTAGCCCCTATTTGTTTCCCATTTTTTATAAGAATGCATTTTGAAATAGTTCATCAATGAAGAATGTGTAATTAAGAAATAAGAATTTTTTATTAGTTTTCGTGTAATATTATTTTATTAAAAAATGTATAATTGAAAAGAAGATAGGAGAAAATGTAATTTGAGAAAAATGGGTATCAAATAAGGGCTTTATGCTAGACGGATAGGGCAAGGCGCCTATTCTTGGAGGGGGAGCCGACAGGGGCACATTGCCCCTGTCCAATTTTCTTTATCCCAGTTTTGTGGTATCATGAAATCGTCCTTTCTTAATGACCTAAAAATTGAGGGTTTCAATTGGACCCGACACGAAACTTAACTTGACTTCGCATGAAATCTACCTGAGTTGGGTTCATTTTTAGTTAAATTGGTTTCACGATTATTATACCCTCTCCTAGGCTTCAAGTTGATGATATTATGCGTCAAAATGAAGTATATATAAATAAAGAAATATTTACAGGATTTTATTTTTATTTGTTGAAGCACTTGTCTTTTATTTTCTATAGTAATTTTTTAAAAATTATATCATCCTTGTTGGAGCTAATTTCATGAATGAATGGTCTGCCTTACTCAAGATCACCTGTCTCGTTGAGATTCATGAAAAAACATTATACATATTAAGCCCCCATTTGGCCCCCATTAAAACACATTATTTGTCAATTTCTCAAACTAGTGTGGGCCCCATGTGTTATAAAGTCAGATAGCGCAGTAGAATTCAAACGGAGGGTAACTGTTGGTCACAGTACTAAATGACAAAACTGCCCTCGCAACCACTCTCCTCAATTGGTCATCTAGCTTTGATATTGGAGGGTGGTTTTGTCCATTGGTACCAACAATCCTTCTGAAAAAATGTGATACATTGCAAATCATCAGGAAGGCAGCAGAATGGACCCGACTTGGGTCAAAAAAGGGGTTGAAAAGTGGCTGTAAAAATAAATTAAAGTACTTTAAACAGACATTAAATCGTGCTTATCTAGCTTTTCCCTAGTCACAAATTAAAAACTACCAATTTTAGGACGAGCTTGAAATTCAAATGTTAGTATATTTATCGAACCTAGCTCTAGTTGATACAACTCTTGAAGCCCCGTTTGTTTTTCATTAATGTAAGAATGAGAATGAAAAATATAGTCGTTACGGACCTCACGCAAAATATAGAAATTCAAATATGATGTCTTGATATGATGCATAACAATTATATTTTTTATTTTAATGGCCAGATAATAAAAACAAATAGGGGCTTATAGAGTAAAAAATTTGCCCCGATTTGGGTATCATTTTTTGTTGCTAAAATAACACCTTGAAGTGACGTCTATCAATTCAAGTTTTGAAACATTGACACGAAATATGTTGCATAAAATGAGTAAAAAAATAATTTCAGCGACTCATTTGAAGTTTCATGTGTATACCATTCAAAAACCATTTTTCAGCATCCTCAAAATCTAGAAACTAAGGGTCTGTTTTCTTCATGTTTCAATTTTGAATTTATTTTAAGTTTTGTGTTATGAGTAGCTATTTTGAAATTGTTGAAAATTCATTCTTTTTGTCATTTTGAAAAACAATTTCTAGAAACATAAAACTTGAAAACACATTTATTTTGAAATTTTTGAGAATTTTTTTATAATATTTTATTCAATAAATTCGATTATTCAATAAAATTTATTGTTTTAATGTTAATATAGTATTAAATAACATATAAATTTTGAAATTTGTGAAAAATGTTTTGAGTGTTGATGAAATGTATTAAATGACTCATTTTTTAACCATACATTCTTTAATAAAGTGTTGATGAAAAATAATTTGAACGTTTTAAATATGAGCCAAATATAGTCTTTGAAGTTCTTAAAACCAATTTCATTTGTAATTAATTTTTATTTCCACCACTAACATAAGTCAAAATTCAAATATAGTCTTTGAAGTTCTTAAAACCAATTTCATTTGTAATTAATTTTCATTTCCACCACTAACATAAGTCAAAATTCAATAACAAGAAACATGTTTTTGAAATATAAAACTTGTCTTGATTGAAACCTCAAACGTACAAATTACTTCAAAATTCTATAGTCCTTTTGAGGCAAATAACGCATTAGTATGTACAAATGTGAAACAATCCCTTCTATATTGAATTGCACATTACCAGTGTATGTAGTCTTATACTCACAATCAAGTATCATATAAAAAATAATAATATCCGTTTCTTCTTATGCTTCAAATCATAAAGTTCCATATCCTTTTGTCTCTTATCTGACCCTTGAAATCATCAGCTGAATGAGGAAGTGCAAGAATCTCATCTTACAATGGCCAAAGATCATCTCATGTTACAAGTGCAAGAATCATCAACTACATTTCACTACATCAGGAGTAGCATGTTACAGTGGCCAAAGATTATTCATGGGTACAACTCAAGGAAAAGGAAAAAGGCACTACCAACAAATAAGCTTGAAGAAGCAAACAGAACGTGGCATGCTTTAATAACGAACTAATCTCTATGTTCAACTGCCTGTCCTCTTTCCATTAACGTAACATCTCTACCAAATTTAACAACCATAAGAGAAGCAAACAAGCCTGAGGGCCCACTTCCAACAACTGCAACTTTTGGCTTCCTGTTATTAGGAAATTTGTAGGATTTACTGAAATCCCAAAAATGTCAATAGAAGCTGCAGTCTGATTTCTCTATGACCCCTTCAAAGTATTGCATTGTTTTGATTACTGACAAGAAATAATCCACTCGTGATGATTAGTGTAAAAAGAAAGTAGGCAGATTGCTTGAGGATTCTTTTCCAAGTTTCAGCATACAATTGTATTAACTTACTACCCATAATATATTTTACAAAATTTCCAACACGGTTATATTTTATTTCTTCTTCTTTTCCACTCAAAAGAAGCCTTCTCCAAGAGTTAAAAAAAAAAAAAATCAATTTTGTCTCTATTCTTTGTTCAGCGCTTAAATGCAGAAATGATCCATACCATACCAAGTTTACATGCAAAGCAGGCATTATAACTATTAATGCTATAAACAGAACTCAAGAGGAAAAAAGAGCCCAAAAATGGAAACATGAAATATAAATCAACTATGAACTTATATTATCAATTGAAAATTGGGAAAAAGCAGTACATCATCAAATACACCATAGAATTTTCTTGCTTACATAAATACATAAAATGCATCTATTTCCCCCATTCATTTCACCATAGGGATGTAAACGAGTCGAGCCGAGCCGGCTCCCGGG